GGGGGGGGGGGACGGAAAAAAACAGGGGTTTTTTTCCGAGCTTCAAAATTTCCAGAAATTTTACATCTCTAGCCCTCCCTCTCACAATCTGCCTAAATTCACAGAAACGGCTTTGCTGTCAGCTGGCCATCTAGCCTCTGCTTAAAAAAAAACTCCAAAAGAGAGCCCACCACCATCCCAAGGAAGCCTGTTCCGCTGAGGAACCCCAATCATTACGGGACAGAATGTAATGTGATCAACAAACGCGGAATGTGTACATGCATTTCTGGAGTATGCATTCTCGCATTCTCTCAGTGATGGTATTCCTGATGCTGTTCCGGTGGCACCACCCCATTGTACAACGTCTTCTCACAAGCACTTATAAGAAACTTAACCCAGGAGAGGAAACAACGGAGAGGTGATATGGTAACCATCTTCGAGTATCTGAAGGGCTATCCTGTGGAGAATGCGGTGGAATTTTTTTCTGTTGCCCCAGAAGGTCGGACGAGAACCAACGGGTTGAAATTAAATCAGAAGAGTTTTTGGCTAAACATGAGGAAGAATTTCCTGAAGGGTTTCCTCAGTGGCACAGGCTTCCTCGGGAGGTGGTGGGCTCTCCTTCTCTGGAGGTTTTCAAACAGAGGCGAGATGGCCCCATCTGACAGCAATGCGGATTCTGCAAACTTTGGCAGATCATGAGAGGGAGGGCAGGAAGGGTTGCCTCAGTGCTTAGTTCTCGTGGCCCTTTCTTACACGCCCAGGGAAATGCTGATTGCCATTTTGGGGTCAGGAAGCCATTGTTCTCTAGGCCAGTTTGGCTGGAGATCCTGGAGTTTTTTTGTCATCTTCTGGGCATGGAACAGCAGTCACTGGCAATGTTCCCTCTAAGCTGTGGAGTCCTGTGAGCAGAAATTCTACTTTGTGGGCTCCTGGCATTCAAGTTGTGAGCGAGCAATTTGGCTGCTGCATAAATTAATCTGCCCTGGAGTCCTCCTTCCTGACCTAAGACAGAAATGTGTGAGCTGGAGGCTAAAAGACTGTGAGCTGGCTCACACCAACTCAGCTTAGAGGGAACACTGGTCATTGGGGGTATGTGTGTGTGTGTGGGGGGGGATTTGTGAATATCCTGCCTTGTGCAGGGGGATGGACTAGATGACCCTGGAGGTACCTTTCCAATCCTATGATTAACTGGGCCAGCACCTCAAAAATCAGCAAATCAGCCCTCACCTTATCAATGAAGTAAAGCGCCACGGACCGCTGCCGTTTCTTCATCTCTTTGGACTTCCAGTCGTCGCGGTACTGAGACCGGATCTTGCTCACCACCCCCTTCAACCGCCGAGCCACCTCGTATTTCTGCCAGTCCTTCTCCCCCTGGAAAGAGAGGCGGGGTTGTGTGAACATTCCCAGGAGAAGAGCCGGCGTGAGATGCAGAACGGGTTTTCGAACCCCCCACACACCTTCAACTTGGAGCTGGGGTTCAACATCACGTATTTGATGGAGCCCTGGATGTTCTCGCTCCATGACGCCAGCCAGGTGACGGTGTTGTCACACCGGACTTCCTTCCACTTGTGCCCTGGAGGTGGAGGCGGGACCGCGGAGTCTCTGGCAAGAACGACAAAGGACAGAGGAATGGCATGGAATGTATAAAGGGCAAGAGGACCCCTGATGCCGGTGTCGCTGCCTGAATTATCCCTTCTTTTAAAAAAAAACAACCCCCAATCTGTTTTATTTTTTCCATAAAACCTACAGTCATAAAATACCGTATAAACTTCATGAGTACAAGAAAGGGAAAGTTACCAATTGACAACAAACCAACCCCTACAGCCATAAACAAATAACATATATAACCAAACTAAAAACATAAGAACATAAGAGATGCCAATGTTGGATCAGGCCAAAGGCCCATCCAGTCCAACACTCTGTGTCACACAGTGGCCAGAAATACCAGGTGCCCTCAGGAGGTCCAGCAGTGGGGCCAGGACATTAGAAGCCCTCCCACTGTTGACCCCCCCCAAGCACCAAGAAGACAGAGCATCACTTGCCCCAGAGCCCCTATCTATACCTTGTGGCTAATAGCCACTGATGGACCGCTGCTCCATATGCTTATCTAATTCCCTTTTGAAGCCGTCCATGCTTGTAGCCGCCACCACTACCTTTGGCAGTGAATTCCAAGTGTTAATCACTCTTTGGGTGAAGAAGTACTTCCTTTTATCCGTTCTAACCCGACCGCTCAGCAATTTCATTGAGTGCCCATGAGTTCTTGTATTGTGAGAAAGGGAGAAAAGTACCTCTTTCTCTACCTGCTCTTTTCCATGCATAATCTTATAAACCTCAATCATGTCACCCCTCAGTCGTCGTTTCTCCAAGCTAAAGAGCCCCAAGCGCCTTAACCTTTCCTCACAGGGAAAGGGTTCCAACCCCTTTATCATTCGAGTTGCCCTTTTCTGCACTTTTTCCACAGCTATAATATCCTTTTTAAGGTGTGGTGACCAGACTATCACTGTTAATTCAATTTTCACAATCTAGATGCAATTTTAATAAAAGGCAGAATGTAAATATTTATCTGGTAATTTAAATAGTTCACCAGAACTTGATGAGGTGTAATCGAAAAGGGATACCATTGTTCCAAAAAATTATTAGATAATGTTGGAGTTTGAGCAACCAACAACTGTGTGGCTATTTTATCTGCCACTGCCGTATCCCAGTATTTCAACATTCATTGTCTTATGGAAGGGACCCTTGCTTGATTCCATACCTGGGCAATCAAACATTTAGCCGCAGATAACAATATAGAGATCAATTCTTTTTTAAGTATAGTTAAAGATAAATTTGGCCAGAAATTTAATAAAACTGATATCGGTGTAACTGGAATTTTTTGATTCACAACCTTTGAAATTATAGAAACAACATCAGATCAAAATTGTTTGATACTGGGACACTCCCACCAACAGTGAAGAAAGGATCCTGTCAATCCACAACCTTTCCAACAATTTGGACTAGCCTTGAATTTGCACAAAAACCATCGGTGGGGTGTAAGATACCACCGAGAATATAACTTAAATGATTGTAGTTTTATCAGTTGGTTATTAGTAGTAAAAGTATAGGATGACCAAGTTTTCCCCCAGTTTAAATCATTATTTGTGGGTTGGCATTCCCTCTCCCATACTAATTGGGGATTAGATCTCTGATTCCAACTTTTCTCGCCAAGTAATTGGTAAATAAAGGAGATCGCTCCTTTGGCTGTATGGTTTGGTCTTTTAATTTCTCAAAAGAGTTCAATGGTCTGTTCAAATCAGATGCTTTACTCAATTCAAAAATATGAATTATCCCCTATTTAAAAGAAGGCGCAAGTGCTCAAGAGAGAAAAATGACTCCCAGAAACACCCTCTCTTGCCTCCAAAACCTACTTTGGACTCCTCACTGGCCCCGCACATTTAGAAGAGCTCTCCCGTACCCTGCATGAGCCAGGTGGCATTTCTGAGGGAGAGCAGGCAGGGTTGCCTCAGTGCTTAGTTCTTGTGGGTCTTTCTTACACAGCCAGGGAAATGCTGATCACCACTTTGGGGGTCAGGCAACAATTTTTCTCCAGGCCAGTTTGGCCATGGACCCTGGAGGTTTTTTTGTCATCTTCTGGGAATGGAACAGGGGTCACTGGGGGTGCGTGGGGGGAGGTAGTTGTGAATTTCCTGCATTGGGCAGGGGGTTAGACTAGATGACCTTGGAGGTCCCTTCCAAACTTATGATCCTATGGTCCTCGCAATAGACTTTCAGCAAGATCCTTCCTTCACTAGCTATGCATTTTGTGCCCAAGATCTTGTGCCTTCCCTCTAACGAAAAAAGGCCTTTAGTGTAGGACCTTTTATATGGATTGCAATTTATGTTTGTTTCCCCTCAGTCTCTTGGCACTAGACCTTGATTAGCTATTAATATTCAATGTTCTAGCATTCTTAAGGGCCAGTTCGGTGTAGTGGTTAGGAGTACAGACTCTAATCTGGGAGAACCGGGTTTGACTCCCTACTCCTCCACGTGCAGCTGCTGGTGTGACCTTGGGCAGTCACAAGTTCTCTCAGAGCTGTACTCGAGAGAGCTCTATCAGCTTAAGAGAATTCTCTCTCTCTCTCTCTCTCTCTCAGGTACACTTGGCAGTTGGCCCCACCCTCTCACTGGTCAGATTGTGAGTCTCTCTGGCCCTTGCATGCCTTCTGTATTTCATCTTATATAGGACCTATCTTCTCTCTCTTACTTGGGCTTGGCGCTCGAGCAAGTTAGCCTTTTTGAAATACATCTGTTCACAAGAAGCTAAACGAACCTACACGAATGTGTCATGTAAGATGTGCTTCTATTTTCGTAAGGAAATTTCTCTTGTTACCCCTGGAGTCAGATCATCTCTGTAATTTGTTTGAACAGCATTTCCCCCTTCACCGGGAAATGTGGAAGATCGGGGACACTGCGAAAAAACTTCGGTGCTTCCAAGGCAAGTGGTATTTTTTTCCCCATTTAACCCAACAACACACCCTTCACAGTTCAGGTACTCACTTGCTGCAGTTGATAATGATGTCTTCGGGCATTATTCTTTTCTTGAGCATCCCCATTTTGGGGTGGTCCCCACGACCCCGGAAGAGACCCGGAGGTTCCGTTTTGAAGTTGCCAATCTTCTCCCGGTGCCCGTCGATTATGCAGTAGCCATATTTCTCCTGGATTCTCTCGGCCTCCGCTTTCAATTTCTGTTTAGAAACAAAAACACGGAAGTATTGTTTTCATAATTTCTGATATCCATACTTCTTTTCTTTTCCTTCTCCTTGTTGTTGTATTTTAAATTAGAACTCCAAACGTGTGAAGTATTCTTCTTTACAAATATAATTAAAAAGGGCGATTGGCTGCAGCTGTGTGGAGCATGGCACACATGTCCACCTCCACAAGCCGCTCCTGCTTCGGGGACACCCCCTGCAATTGCCAGTTACGGGAGGGGCCAGAGCAAAGCCCCCTAGCTCCAAAACTCTCTACAGGAGTTCTGGCGAAGCTCCCCCGACTGCCGGGAGGCTTCAAAGAGACTAACCACAGACCAAATAAACGACAAATCTGCGTGACATCTGGACTGAGCCCTCGAGAAGGCTGGGACAGGAAGGCCAAGCAGACACTGTGGGGAGGGGCTGTGGCTCAGTGGCAGAGCCTCTGCTCGGCATGCAGAAGGTCCCAGGTCCAATCCCCGGAAGCACCTCCAGTTAAAAGGACAAGGCAGTAGGTGATGGGAAAGATCTTCGCCTGAGACCCTGGACAGCCGCTGCCAGTCTGGGTAGACAGCACCGATGGACCAAGGGCCTGATTCAGTAATAAGGCAGTTTCACATGGCATTCAGGGGCATACGGTGATCCACCTCCACCAGGGAGGGAGTTGTCTCCACCACGCACAGCCTCAAATTGCCCATGAGAAGTAAGCCACCTGGGGTTACAACAATTCAAGATTTAACTCGTGGACACTCCATGAAATTGCTGAGCGGTCGGGTTAGAACGGATAAAAGGAAGTCCTTCTTCACCCAAAGAGTGATGAACACTTGGAATTCACTGCCACAGGAAGTGGTGGCGGCTACAAGCATGGAGGCCTTTAAAGGGGAATTAGATAAGCATATGGAGCAGAGGTCCATCAGTGGCTATTAGCCACAAGGTATAGATAGGGGCTCTGGGGCAAGTGATGCTCTGTCTTCTTGGTGCTTGGGGGGGCCAACAGTGGGAGGGCTTCTAATGTCCTGGCCCCACTGGTGGACCTCCTGATGGCACCTGGTATTTCTGGCCACTGTGTGACACAGAGTGTTGGACTGGATGGGCCTTTGGCCTGATCCAACATTGGCATCTCTCATGTTCTTAACCTCTGAGACTATGAAATCAGGACAGACATTCAAGAAGGAGGCCCAGTTCTGCAGCCCTCCAGCTGTCAACAGAAGAGAAGAGATTGGATTTTTACCTCGCCCTTCACTACCCAAGGGAGTCTCAGAGCAGCTTACAAACTCCTTTCCTTTCCCCTCCCCACAACAGACGCCCTGGGAGGTAGGTGGGGCTGAGAGAACTCTTTTGAGAACTGTAGAAGAAGAAGAAGAGGAGGAGGAGGAGGAGATTGGATTTATACCCCGCCCTTCCCACGGAGTCTCAGAGCGGCTTACAAACTCCTTTCCCTTCCCCTCCCCACAACAGACATCCTGTGAGGTAGGTGGGGCTGAGAGAGCTCTTGACAGAAATGGCTCTTTTTCAAGAACAGCTGTGCCAGAACCATGGCTTGCCCAAGGACATCCAGCAGCTGCAAGTGGAGGAGTGGGGAATCAAACCCGGTTCTCCCAGATTAGAGTCTGCGCACTTAACCAGCACAACAAAAGGCCTTTGGATTCCATTGCTCGGCAGTGGAGACCGAACCTGTTTCTCCTCCTTGGACAGTGTCTTCCGGGCCTCCTGCTTCTCCACAAAATGCTTATGGATCTCTTCAAAATTGCACTTCCCCAGCTCTTTGATCTTCTTCCTCTCTTCCGGGGTCATCTCCTGTGGGGGAAACCAAGCAGCAGCACAGAAAATCCAGTTCTAGGTTTGGGGAGGGGCACTAGGCAGAGTTCCTGGGGGACCCTTCCTACCAACACACCCATGTTTCCCACGACCTGCCTGTGTCATAACAACGGAAAGTGAATGAAAACAGCAAGTGTGACTGGATTAGGTATGATATGCAGAGGAGTAGTAGGCATGGAGAAATCAGCACTGGTAGTGAGACAGGAAACCCAGGTCTTGATTAAGTCCAGGTGGATGCATTGTCTCGAGCGGTCAAGTGCCCCTCTGTATATCATACGTACTCCAATCACACCTGCCACTGTCATTCACCCGCTACTGTCATTTAGCATCTGAAATCACTCCGCTTTCCAAGATATAAGGACAGATGGACTCCCATTCTAGCCGTATCTGAAGAAGTGAGCCGTGACTCACGAAAGCTCCTCACCTGCCACCAGTGTTCCCTCTAAGCTGAGTTAGTGTGAGCTAGCTCACAGGTTTTTAGCCTCCGGCTCACACATTTTTGTCTTAGCTCAGGAAGGATGGCTCCAGAGCAAACTGGTTTATGCAGTAGCCAAATCACTCGCTCACAACTTTAATGGCAGTAGCTTTTGTTAGTCTAAGGTGCTACTGGACTCTTGCTCTTTTCTATGGCTAGACAAACACAGTGAGCCATCTTGATCTAAAAGCATACATGAAGCTGCCTTATACTAAAACAGACCCATGGTCCATCAATGTTCGTATTCCAGGGTCTCTGGCAGAGGTCCTTTGCATCACCTACTGCCTGGTCCCTTTTATCTAGAGATGCCAGGGACTGTACTTGGGACCTTCTGCATGGCAAACAGATGCTTTACCACTGAGCCACGGCCCCTCCTTGACATCACTGGAGACTGTGCTATCATTGAGCTCTTGCCTGTCATTTGCAATGGAATCTTCCGGAGCAAACAAGACAATTCAGTTGCAAGACAGCAGGATAAACTCCAGTGATGCACGGATGCATCCAGGGTGGTCTACTAGCCACCAGATTCAGCCATAGTCCAGACTATGCCCCATAAAGCTGAGTACCTCTGGACCATGCTGTGGAGCTTGGGGCTCTTTAGCTTGGAGAAACGACGGCTGAGGGGTGACATGATCGAGGTTTAAAAGATTATACATGGGATAGAGCAGGTGAAGAAAGAAGTATTTTTCTCCCTTTCTCACAATACAAGAACTTGTGGGCACTCAATGACATTGCTGAGCAGTCGGGTTAGAACGCATAAAAGGAAGTACCTGGCCCCACTGGTGGACCTCCTGATGGCACCTGGTATTTTTGGCCACTGTGTGACAGAGTGTTGGACTGGATGGGCCATTGGCCTGATCCAACATTGGCTTCTCTTATGTTCTTACTTCTTCACCCAAAGAGTGATTAACACATGGAATTCACTGCCACAGGAGGTGGTGGCGGCTACAAGCATGGACGGCTTCAAGAGGGAACTGGATCAACATCTGGAGCAGAGGTCCATCAGTGGCTATTAGCCACGAGGTATAGAGAGGAACTATCGGTCTGGGGCAAGTGATGCTCTGTCTTCTTGGTGCTTGGGGGGGGGTCAACAGTGGAAGGGTTCCTAGTGTCCTGGCCCCACTGCTGGACCTCGTGATGGCACCTGGTATTTTTGGCCACTGTGAGACAGAGTGTTGGACAGGATGGGCCATTGGCCTGATCCAACATTGGCTTCTCTTATGTTCTTATGGAGCTCCCAAAACGTTTCCAGTATTCATTACACAGGCCTAGAGCTATGGCTCAACGGCAGAGCATCTGTCTGGCATGCAGAAGGTCCCAGGTTCAATCTCCACCATCTCCAGTGAAAAGGACCAGGCAGCAGGTGATGTGAAAGAGTTCAGCCTGAGACCCTGGAGAGCGGCTGCCAGTCTGAGTAGACAATACGGACCTTAATGGACCAAGGGTCTGAGTCAGGATAAGGCAGCTTCATGTGTTCAGGCAATTCACAGACACATATATGCAACACTCACATGCGTGCAACAAATACCTTGGTCCAGTCACTGAAGAAGTTGTTCTGGAAGATTCTCTTCCTTGTGTAGTCGTGATCCAGCATCTTGGCATAGAACGTGGCTATTTCCTCCGCGGCCAAACTGAGTTTCATAGGCTTCCCTGGAAGAGTCAATGGTGGCCCTGCGACCGACTGCTTTGCCTTCACAATGCATCGTGGCCTCTCACATCACAACAAGTGTACACGGACAACCTTCTCGGCACAAAGACCCCCCCCCCACTGCACACTAAAACTGATCTCCTTTCAGAGAGTTTTTCTGCCTAAGTGTGAGCTTTCTTGACTATAGAAGTCATCACCCCCACCTGCCGGCTTGTGATCAGAACTCTTCCTTAGGCTGCCAGAAGTGATTAACTTGCAGCAGCTGAGAACTGTCACCTAAAGTGGTCGACAGCTTGCAATTCAGAGACCTATCCTGACAACAGCTTTCTATTGGCTAAATCGCTTTTCTTTCTGCACTGAGAACTTCAGCCCCGCCAGAAATAAAAAATCTGCCTCACAAGCCACAAAATCCCAGTTACGGGCCTGAGTCTGACACTTTAAGCACTACAGAATTAACCAGAACAGACTGTATCTCGCGGCCACTTTATCCATGGCTAAAGCCAGATTGACCATCAAGCCTTCTGGAGTCCTTCACTCACTCACCTTGAGACCCACCCGAGAAAAGACTAGAGATGTAAAATTTCCGGAAATTTTGAAGTTCGGAAAAAAACCCGTTTTTTTCCCGAAAAAAACCAGAAATTTTCGGGAAAATTGAAAAAAATGCTACATTAGCATTTCTTTTGTCTTTTCTAGATTGAAAGTCATTCTGTTACTTTAGGAACATAAAATATGACTATGGACATTTTTACTTGGCATGAAATTATCACAACTAGCCTATTAAAAATATAGTGTATCCAAACAATTATTACAAACAGAATACCCACCCACATGCAAAAACAAAACTGAAACCTTTTTCTTTTCTTGTGACAATAGCACCTCCTAAAGGAAGAAATGCATCTTGTTCTTGCATTGGAGAGTTCAGTTTGTAACCTAGGACTTGCTTGTCCGCAGTGCAGAGAAATTAGCTCAATCTGATACCATATATATATATATATTAGAAATGATTTGGAAAATATTTGAACACCTTTATTCATCATGTTAAAATAAAATGTTCCATAATCAATTTTTTTCTTTTTTTTTAATTTTTCCAATTTTTCGGAAAAAAACCAAAAAAGCTTCAGGAAAAAAAATGGAAAAAACCCGTTTTTCCCCCGAATTTTTCTGGTTTTTCCCCGGGCCTTCACATCTCTAGAAAAGACTCATAATGACTTCGTTTGGGGTCCCAGCCTGCAGTTGAGGAACCAGAGAATCTCCAAGGCTGCAAAAGCTCAGTAAGACCTCTTCCTACGAGCCGGAGAGCCCCTCTTAATCTGTTGCCAGCACAGCACACATTTCAACATACAAATGAACACCTACCATTGTAACAGAAGTGGACATGATTTGGCAGGGGCTCGTAAGGTGCTGCAAAGTACGGTCCGTTGTGCTCCAACTGCTGCCACTTGACCCCATCCTCCCGCTGCTCCTCTTCCCACCTGGGGAGACGGATGTTGGAAAAGACACAAAGGTTCATGGGTCACTCGTAACCTTCAGGAGGCAGTGGAAGACAGGTTCATTCACGATGGTTGTATCTGACCAAGGGAGTTTTGACTCTCAAAGCTTGGCATAGTGGTTGAGTGCGCGGACTCCAATTTGGGAGAACTGGGTTTGATTCCCCACTCCTCCACTTTCACCTGGCTGGATGACCTTGGGCAAGCCATAGTTCTGCCAAGAGCTGTTCTTGAAAAAGAGCAGTTTCTGTCAGAGCTCTCTCAGGCCCACCTCCCTCACAGGGTGTCTGTTGTGGGGAGGGGAGGGGAAAGGAGTTTGTCAGCCGCTCTGAGACTCCTTTGGGTAGTGAAGGGTGGGGTATAAGTCCAATCTCTTTGTCGCCGTCTTCTTATACCCCAAAAATATTTTTAAAAACAAATTGTATTAAATATCTTCTCAAAACACAATGCCACCAATATCAAAAAAGGTTCATAAAATTATATAGTTTGTTGGCAGCATGTGGAAAAACATGAAGAAGCACATTAAACACATCAACAAAGGCTCTAGGAGCTCAGTTGCCATAACTATTTAAAACTACTCATCGTAATCCTGGCTAATGAAACGAGGAGGCAGCTGGGTAACATAAGAACATAAGAGATGCCAATGTTGAATCAAGCCAAAGGCCCATCCAGTCCAACACTCTGTGTCACACAGTGGCCAGAAATACCAGTGCCATCAGGAGGTCCAGCAGTGGGGCCAGGACATTAGAAGCCCTCCCACTGTTGACCCCCCCCCCCAAGCACCAAGAAGACAGAGCATCACTTGCCCCAGAGCCCCTAGCTATACCTTGTGGCTAATAGCCACTGATGGACCTCTGCTCCATATGCTTATCTAATTCCCTTTTGAAGCCGTCCATGCTTGTAGTCGCCACCACCTCCTGTGGCAGTGAATTCCATGTGTTAATCACTCTTTGGGTGAAGAAGTACTTCCTTTTATCCGTTCTAACCCGACCGCTCTGCAGTTTCATGGAGTGCCCACGAGTTCTTGTATTGTGAGAAAGGGAGAAAAGTACCTCTTTCTTTACCTGCTCTTTCCCATGCATAATCTTATAAACCTCGATCATGTCACCCCTCAGTCGTCTTTTCTCCAAGCTAAAGAGCCTTAAGCGCTTTAACCTTTCCTCATAGGGAAAGTGTTCCAACCCTTTTATCATTCGAGTTGCCCTTTTCTGCACTTTTTCCAAAGCTATAATATCCTTTTTAAGGTGTGGTGCCCAGAACTGCACACAGTATTCCAAATGAGGTCTCACCATTGATTTATATAGGGGCATTATTATATTGGCTGATCTGTTTTCAATACCCTTCCTAATAATCCCCAGCATAGCATTGGCCTTCTTTATTGCAGTCACACACTGTCTCGACATTTTCAGTGAGTTATCCACTACAACTCCAAGATCTCTCTCTTGCTCAGTCTCTGCCAGTTCAGACCCCATCTATACCTTGTGGCTAATAGCCACTGATGGACCTCTGCTCCATATGCTTATCCAATTCCCTCTTGAAGTTGTCCATGCTTGTAGCCGCCACCACTTCCTGTGGCAGTGAATTCCAAGTGTTAATCACTCTTTGGGTGAAGAAGGACTTCCTTTTATCCGTTCTAACCCGACCGCTCAGCAATTTCATGGAGTGCCCACGAGTTCTTGAGAAAAGGAGAAAAGTACCTCTTTCTCTACCTGCTCTTTCCCATGCATAATCTTATAAACCTCAATCATGTCACCCCTCAGTTGTCGTTTCTCCAAGCTAAAGAGCCCTAAGCGCTTTAACCTTTCCTCATAGGGTAAAAAGACTTAATTAAACTTCACAAACACAACAACAACCAAACACAAAGCTTCGAGCAGTGCAGGATGTGGTGAACTATCTTTGTCCTCCAAAATGTGGTTTCCAAGGAACCACTAAACAAAAATGAAATACCGTGGGTTAAGAAAAGTTGACAAGGGGGCTAGGGGAGAATAAAATTATATTGGCATCTAAAAGTGTTTACTAGTGATGGGGAACATCTAGACCAGGGGTGTCGAACTCATTTGTTATGAGGGCCGGATTCTGACATAAATGAAACCTTGTTGGGCTGGGCCATGTGTGTCATAAAATGTAATGCCAGGTAGCGGAGATAGAAATTTTATAAAGGACACAAACACAAAGGGGTGGGTTTTTTTTTACTTAAAATAAAAAAATGCTCCAAACGTTAGCTCTGTAAGATGCAAAGCTACTTTTGACTGACTGACATTCGCCACAGAAATCTCATGCTCAGAGTTGTGAGTCTAGGACCCAGGGGAAAACATGAAATGGCTGAGTGATTAAGAGAGTCTGGTGAAGCAAGCGATGATGCAGCAGCAGCAGAACTGGAAGCAGGAGATGGCCAGTTCCACTGCGGGCCTGATGGAAGACCTCTGGGGGGGGCTGATCCGGACCCCGGGCCGCATGTTTGACACCCCTGGCCTAGACTCAGTCCAAATCCACCCTCCAGATTTGAGGGATCTATCCTTGACCCCCTCCTCTCAGTCGGATTATTTTATTTACTTATTTGATTTATACCTCACCCTCCCCACTGAGGCAGGCTCAGGGCGGCTTACATAAAGCTAAAATACATGGTACAAATTATAAAATGATAAAACCAGTTCATAAAGTGCTAGTATTAGTTAAACTTCAGAGGACGGCGGAAGACAGCAGGGCCTGGTGTGATCTGGTCCATGGGGTCGCGGACAGTCGGACTCGACTGTGTGACTGAACAACAACAATTAGTTCAGTATCGTATATGACGGCAGAACACAGTGGCAAATCAATCATAGCCAGTCACACACTCTCGGCTTATCCTACCTCACAGGGTTGTTGTGGGGATAAAATGGGAGGCGAGGAGAACAACCTAAGTCACTTTGGGCTCCCCACTGAGGAGAATGCAGGATATAAATGAAATAATTCAGCAAAATGTGAAGACGATCGTTTTAGATATTTTTCTTCATTGCCATCCCTAGAAACGATTTATCCGCAGCAAAAATTAAAAGGAAAAAAAGAAGTACAGGCATTACAATATTCCAGCTTTATTGGACGCACACTTAATCTTAAATCTAACCGCTCCCTTTCTCTAGGCAGCTACTTAGGTCCAACTCGCAGGTCGGAACTGCTCTGAGCATAGATTGAAAACCAGATGTGTCCAACCTCTGGCCAGAGCCAGCCCACGTTTCTGCTGCTGCTGAAACATGAGGTTTGCGAGAGAAACCTTCCTGTCGCCGACTCTCTTACCTGGCCTTGGGAATCTTCGCCCTTTGGGGCACTGCGCAGAACCGCCGGAGAGCGACTGTCAGGAAACTGCACAGGAAAGCCGCGCCGGGCTCATAACTGACAGGCGGCCGGCTCAGCCAGCACAGGCCCAAGGCCAAGCTCAGGCACCCCGGCTTCCTCCACATGGCAACCGGCCACTGCTCCAGCTGTGCATCAAAGAGCGCACGGACTCTCCTGCAGTCCGCCACACGTCCACAGGTGTGCGGCAGGACATGCCAGGTGCCCTTCCGCCTGGAAATGCTTAAACCTCACCCAACAAACCACTTGGCTCAACATTACAAAAAGCAGCAATGAGCGAAATGCCAAAGCTTGAAGTGGGCTTTTGAATCACGGTCAGTCCCTGAGACATGCGAGGCCTGTGCACACTTGTGGCTTCCTGGTTTTTTTTCCCCTCTACCCATAATGCCAGAGCAACAAGGAACACTGGGAAATGTAGTCCAACTGATGGGCCACTCCCCCCTTGCCATGTGATATGAACAAGCCGGTTACTAAGGCAGCGTTTCTCCCCCAAGGGAAGGTACCAGGGCAACCAAACGCAATTAAAGGGACAGAACCAATGTTCCCTCTAAGCCGTGGAGTCTTGTGAGCAAAAATTCTACTTTGTGAGCTACTGGCATGAAAGTTGTGAGCGAGCGATTTGGCTGCTGCATAAATTAGTTTGCTCTGGAGCCGTCCCTTCCTGTGCTAAGACAAAAATGTGTGAGCTGGAGGCTAAAAAAACAGTGAGCTAGCTCACACTAACTCAGCTTAGAGGGAACACTGGACAGAACCTGCCTTAAATTTGTTTCTGGGCTCCAGTTTTTGGCTGGGACAGTCACAAGCCAGGCAGGGTTGGCACAAATGTTAACTCACTGTCATAATAACCTACCAGCTCGGAGAGCACATTTCAAGGGCTCTCTTTCAGCTATGCTCCTGCAGAGTGCAGGGGGTTGGACTAGTTGACCTGCAAGGACCCTTCCAACTCTAACGTTCTACGATTCTCTGTTTCTCTTCTGTTATTAGGGTTGCCAGCTCCAGGTTGGGAAATGGTTGGGGATTTTGGGTGTGGAGTCAGCCATTTCCTCCAGGGGAACACATCTCTGTCGCCTGGAGATCAGTTGTAATGCCAGATCTCCAGCCACCGCCTGGAGGCTGGCAACCCTAGTTAAAGTGAGTTTACTTACTTCATTTCTACCTAGGGTTGGCAGGTCACCCCTGTCCACCAGCGAGGGATTGGGGGTGTAGGGTTGCCAGATCCAGGTTAGGAATTTCCTGGAGATTTGGGGATGGAACCTCGGGAGGACAGGGACCTCAGTATGGTACAATGCCATAGGCTCACCCTCCAAAGCATCCATTTTGAGAAGGAGGGAGAAGAAGAAGAGGAGGAGGAGGAGGAGATTGGATTTATACCCTGCCCTTCACTACCCAAAGGAGTCTCAGAGCGGCTTACAGACTCCTTTCCCTTCCCCTCCCCACAACAGACACCCTGGGAGGTGGGTGGGGCTGAGAGAGCTCTCTCGAGAAGTGCCCGTGAGAGAACAGCTCTGAGAGAACTTGGAACTGGCCCAAGGTCATCCAGCAGCTGCATGTGGAGGAGTGGGGAATCAAACCCGGTTCTCCCGGATTAGAGTCCGTGCACTTACCCACTACACCAAACTGGCAGTTCGGAGGTCAGTTGTAATTCCTGTGTAAAGATGGTGCGACTGAACAACAACAACAAATAGGAGATTGAAAAAGTCAGGTCCTCCAAGAATACATGGAAAATATTGCTTGACAGTGACATCTGGTGGGTAAAGCAGATAAGAAGAGATTGGATTTACACCCCGCCCTTCACTACCCAAAGGATTCTCAGAGCGGCTTAGAATCTCCTTTCCCTTCCCTTCCCCACAACAGACACCCTGTGAGGCGGGTGGGGCTGAGAGAGCTCTTGGCAGAAACAGCTCTTTTTTCAAGAACAGCTCTAAGAGAACTTGTGACTGACCCCAGGTCACACCAGCAGCTGCATGTGGAGGCGTGAGGAATCAAACCCGGTTCTCCCAGACTAGAGTCCGCGCTCCTAGCCACGACACCAAACTGGCTCTCTACCAGGCATTACAGCAGGGCATGAGAGAGGAGGTTGTTAATGAATCTCTGCTTTCAAACAGAACAATGTTTGAGTCCAGTGTCACCCTTAAGTCCAACAAGTTTAATTCTCGGTATAAGCTTTCGTGTGCAGGCACACTTCTGAAGAAGTCCCACTGCGTTTAGGAGTGCTTACTCCCAGTGTATGGTAGCCAACTCCAGGTTGGAAAATTCCTGGAGATTTGGGGGGTGGAGACTGGGAAAACAGGGTTTGGGGAAGAGAGGGACCTCAGCAGGGTTTAATGCCATAGAGTCCACCCTCCAAAGCAGCACTGAGAGATCTCCAGGCCCCACCTGGAGGTTGGTAACCCTATCCCCTCCCCATTATCCTCCCCCCCCCCAACTGAACAAACCAGCCTGACAGAAGGGCTCTGGGGAGCTCGACAGCATGTTGGGTGGCACTTGGATCGGTTCCCGTAAACAGGGACGGCAGGCTGCCTGTTTTTGCAAATTAACTCCGAATCATGTTTTAAACTCCCTACAGATCGTTTTGAAAGGATAATTTAGAAGGGCCTCCAGCCTCCTCTCCCCCCCCCCTTCAAAAATCCACAAGCAGGAAGGAGCGAGGTGGGAGTCAGGCTGGCTTCCAGCTGCGGGACCTCAGGGTCAACTCCCACACAAGGGCACCACGTAGCCCGAGACACAAGCAGTTTTTTAAAAATTCCTTGCTTCCCCTGTAACGATGCTGGACTCCTTTTCGCTCTACCCCCAGTGAGCAGAGATACAGAAGAAGATGAGTAGGCTTTTACACCCCTCTTTTCTCTTGCCCCAAGGCGTCTCAAGGTGGCTTACAATCTCCTTTCCCTTCCTCTCCCCACAATGGGCACCTTGTGAGCAATGCTCCCTCTAAGCTCTGGAGTCTTGTGAGCAAAAATTCTACTTTGTGAGCTGCTGGCACTAAAGTTGTGAGCCAGCGATTTGGCTACCGCATAAATTAGTTTGCTCTGAAGCTGTCCTTCCTGAGCTAAAGCAAAAATCTGTGAGTCGGAGGCAAAAAAACCGCGAGCTAGCTCACACTAACTCAGCTTAGAGGGAACACTACTTGTGAGCAGTGTTCCCTCTAAGCTAAGTTAGTGTGAGCTAGCTTCACAGGTTTTCAGCCTCTGGCTCACACGTTTTTGTCTTACCTCAGGGAAGGATGGGGCTCCAGAGGAGACTAATTTATGCAGCAGCCAAACCGCCGGCTCACCACTTTCATGCTAGTAGCTCCCAAAGTAGAATTTTTGCTTACAAGACACCACGGCCTAGAGGGAGCATTGCCTGTGAGGCAGGTGGGGCTGAGAGGGCTCTGAGAGAATTGTGACTGGCCCAAGGTCACCCAGCAGGTTTTACGAAAAGGAGGAGGAGGAAGGAATAAAAGCCAGTTCTCCAGATGAGAGTCCACCGCTCTTAACCGCTGTACCGCCCTGACTCTCAAAAGCTGTTCTATCGTCACTTAGTAAAAGCTTGTTTTAAATGGTTTAAAACAAAAACAAAAACATGTAACCAAGAATGTACGCTATTAGCAGAGTCACCCTGTAATTTTGTATTTTTTAAATTTTTGACCACATCTAGCCAGAATTCTGTTCTATTACTTTGTATTTGTATGTATGGCCAGTCTGGTGTCGTGGTTAAGTGCACGGACTCTAATCTGGGAGAACGGGGTTTGATTCCCCACTCCTCCACTTGCACCTGGCTGGATGACCTTGGGCAAGCCGTAGTTCTGATAAGAGCTGTCCTTGAAAAAAAGAGCAGTTTCTGTCAAGAGCTCTCTCAGCCCCACCTCCCTCACAGGGTGTCTGTTGTGGGGAGGGGGAAGGGAAATGAGTCTGTAAGCCCCTCTGAGCCAGTTTGGGTGTCATGGTTAAGTGCGCGGACTCTAATCTGGGAGAACCAGGTTTGATTCCCCACTCCTCCACTTGCACCTGGCTGGATGACCTTGGGCAAGCCGTAGTTCTGATAAGAGCTGTCCTTGAAAAAAAGAGCAGTTTCTGTCAAGAGCTCTCTCAGCCCCACCTTCCTCACAGGGGGTCTGTTATGGGGAGGGGAAGGGAAAGGAGTTTGTAAGCCGCTCTGAGACTCCTTTGGGTAGTGAAGGGCGGGGTATAAATCCAATCTCCTCCTCCTCTTCTTCTACCAAGGAGCCTAGAGTACTGTATCTAGGCCTCCTCTCCTCTATTTCATCCTCACAACAACCCTGCGGGGTAGCTCAGACCCAGAGTGACTAGCCCAAGGCCATCTAATACACCTTGTGAGTCAGCGCTCAAATAGCCCTGCCCAGGATAGCCCGATTGTGTCAGGTCTCGGAAGCTAAGCGGGGTCGGCCCTGGCCAGTATTTGGAAGGGAGACCAACCGAAGAAGTCCAGGGTCGGTACACGGAGGCAGGCCATGGCAGACCACCTTTCAATGTCTCTTGCCTTGAAGAGCCCACGGGTTCACCGTAACCAAGCTGTGACTTGACAGCAAAAACCTAAAGTGCTCAAATATGTTTCTCTAGATCTCTTCAGTATATTTTAAACAGGGTTCCTCCCCCCCCCCCCAATAATAACCACAGCAGAAATTGTAATGTGCCATTGAGCTGGGGTTCATGTAGAAACAACAGAGAGATTGCGGGAAGGACGCAAACAATGATGAGAAGAACCATGATGTAGTATTATGAAAATATATGTAGACTGCTGTTTTGCAGTGAGTAGTGTTTCTTCAACAAGTTATAAAGATGTACGCATACACACCCTGTGTGTATGCGTACCTCTTTATGACTTGTTGAAGAAACGCTACTCACCGCAAAGGTCAAGGTCAAGATTTCCCTTGCTCGAAAGCCAGTCGAATCGGACTCTAGGGTTCCTGAGCCCGTTCGCTGGAAGGGCGGGGTATAAATGCAATGAAACAAATAAATAATAAATAGGGTTGCGGTGCTCATCTCCGTTTCCAAGCCGAAGAGCCAGCGCTGTCCGAAGACGTCTCCATGGTCGTGTGGCCGGCATGACTAGAGGCCGAGGCGCACGGAACGCTGTTCCCTTCCCACTGAAGTGGTACCTATTTATCTACTTGCAATTTCTTGCTTTCAAACTGCTAGGTTGGCAGGAGCTGGGGCCAGAGACGGGAGCTCACTCCGTCATGTGGCACTCGGGTCTTGAACCGCCGAGCTACCGACCTTCCAGTCTGCAGCTCAGCGACTTAACCTCTGAGCCACCAGGGAACTTCT